GGAAGTGGTACTGTGGCTCAAGTGGTAGAGCGCTAGCCTTGAGCTGAAGAGCTGAGGGACAGCGCCCAGGCCCAGAGTTCAGGCCCCACGACCAGACCCAAAGAAAAAAAAAAAAAAGATGTTTGCTCAGCTTTATGACTGGTGCTCTACCACTTGAGCCGTGCCTCCAGCCTGGCTTTTTGCTGGTTACGGGCTTTTCTGCTCAGGCTGACTTCTATCCTCCAGATATCAGCCTCCTGAGCAGCTTGGATGCCAGGCATAAGCCACCAGCACACAGCTGGATTATTTTTAAAAAACTGGTTTATACTTGATATTCTTGTTGATTTTTTCCAGATGATAAAGACAAGCGCGCGTCTTCAGTAGAGACTAATTTCCTTTTATAAACTATATAAGATCATCTAGTCTAAATTGTGTTCCTTCTTTTCCAAAAAGGATTTGACATTGGAGGCTATTTTGGCCATTATCACTGGGTCAACAATACATTGCAGCAGCTACCTTTATATCCTTCATGCTGCAGTGTGTGCTAGTCCCACAGTCCCTGGTGAAAGAATCACAAAGGGGAAGGACAGCCTTGGTTTCTCTCTTTATGTTGTCCCCAGCTTGCTGTAATAGAGAAAAGATCCACTGGGTAGATAAACTGGATGTTCAAGCCCTGTACAACCACCATTGTTCACCCTCAGTGCTGGCTCCGGCCTCTAAATCACATGGCCAAAGCAACAGCCACCACAACAGCCGCAAATGGCTACAACTGACAGCTGCCTGCCCAGCCCCTTACCTGACAGGCTTCTCTTCTCTAGCAGGAAGCTGGAAGTCTGGCTTCCAGGAACATCTTGAAGACACAAAAGCCTGGCTGTCCTGCAGGCCAAGCATTGCTAAAAAGGGAAGACAAAGACAATCATCAGTGAGGCTGGAAGTGACCCTGCCAGGGCAGCATTTCCTGCTCCCTGAGCACCAGCTCCTCTCAGGGAGACCCTAAACCTCCTTTCCTTAGGGAAGCACAGCACATTTCAAAATAATCTAAACTTGAACTTGGCCTCCAGCCCTCACTTGGCTTTTTCTGCTTACAGCTAGTGCTGTTAACACATTGAACCACACCTCCACTCCTGGCTTTTTGCTAGTTAGGTGGAGATAACTTTGGTCTGTTTGGGGTGACTCTGAACCTTGATTCTCAGATCTCAGCCTCCTGAGTAGCTAGGACTATAAGCAAGAGCCACTGATACCTGACTAATCTACACTTGAGAAAGAACATGCTCATGTATGCCTTTTACTATAAACAGGAAATAAATCTACCTTTAACATACCTCTCCCTCCTCCTGTCTCTCCTCTCCTTCTCCCTTTACATAGTGCTACCAAAGTTAACTGTTAAATTAACATAAACATCTTAATCCTGCAGACCATAGTAGAAATATCCAGCCCTTGTCATTTTCCCAGAATACCAGTTCAAAAAGGATCTTGTGCGAAGCCCTAAGAAGATTGTGCAGAGCCACTGAGGAGGGCCAGCAAGTGCGCCACTGGCCCTCTTGGTCCATTAGCACACTAGGCTAGAGCCGGGGTGCTGATGGATGAGACAGCAGACATGATCACCATGATCACCATATACAGTGATTAGCAGTCACAGGCATTAAAGAGATTAAAATGGATTCTCATAGACAACAGATGAACCAATGTACATACAGGGCCTGACTCCTCGTTCAAGGAGTTGGATGTTCAGAGATGATATGGAAAGACGGCTGAGCCAGCAAGGTGCAACTTCTCTGGCTTGCACAAAGCCATGATCCCAACAAAGTCACTGTCCGCAGGCAGGAGCTCAGTGGGCCGTAGCTGATAATTATTATTTGTAACTGATTATTTGCTTACACAGTAACTGATACAAGCTTACAGGTTGACAGTTGCACCAAGGTTTGTTTCTTATCAGGAACCCATTTTTCTCTTCATAAATTTCTATCTCCTTAAGCTACTTGGCTCCTCTCATTTTTTTTTCGCCCATTTCCTCTTAAACCCACTCCAACCGTGCTTTAGCATCTCTGCCAGATGTACTGTCAAATCCATGCCATGCAGAGTCCCATCATTAATGGTCTGTTGTCATTTTATGCAACTTACTTGCAACACAGGATGCAATGGTTGCTTTGCTTCATTCAATCACCTTCTGTACTTGGACTCCAGAGCATGTACCTGCTGGTCCTGAGGTTTGAACTCAAGGGTATTGGTGCTGTCCCTGAACACATTGCTCAAGGCTAGCACCTAATCCCTTGAACAACAGCTCTACATCCAGTTTTTGCTGTTGCTCAATTGAAGAGTCTCACAGACTTTCTTCAAACCTCGATCCTCAGATCTTAGCCTCCTGAGTAGCTAGGATTACAGACGTGAGCCACTGGCACCCAGATTCATCTCAAGGTTTTCTATTCCACTTGTATGTTTGATAGTACCTGTTTCTCTCCATCCTGAGCCTCTTCTCTTGACCCTGTACATCCTACTGCCTACTGAGCATCTCCACAGACATCTATCATGCTAACAGGTCCAGAACTAAACTCCTGACCTTCTCCACATCTGCTTCATTAATGGCTTCCTCAGCTCACCTACAGGAAGCTCCACCCTTGCAATGCTCAGGTTGGAGAACTTGAAATCACTCCTGTTTGCTTTCTCTCACACTTAGAACCTACAGGGGGAAAAACAGATATGAGATCCCTGTCATTAGATATTGCTATTACATTGAAGAAAAAAGGGAGAACATAAAAGGTTAATTATATAACATATTAGGAAGTGATTCAATTAAAAAAAAACCACAAGGACTGCGAAAAGTTTAGCCTAAGACAGCCAGGTCAGGCTGGTAAATTTGGAGCAAGAAAATCTTCCTGATTGCCTGGGTATAGTGAGGCAGGCCACATCTGGGTGCTGTGGACAGCAGTGTAACAAGAGTGCAGTCAGGACAATCACAAAGCATAAGCAGTGTTTCCACAACACTGGACACTTAAGAGACTAGGAAACTTTTGAGTAGCAAACACTAGTCAGGACAAGGGAGAGGGGTGGGTGATGAAGTGATCCCTGCTTGGGGTGTGGCAGAAGTCCCGACATAATGGAAGCTGCTGGTAAGTTGGGGAGTAACTACATGGTGATCATAGGATCTAGACTGGAAAGGGAGCTAAAAATGTGCAGGTACAGGAGAAAGGAATACATGGGGAAAATGCCTCGAGGAAGAAAGGACTGGGCAGAGAAGGTAAGCCATCAGTTTCTCATTACATTACATTTATCTCCATTGTGTGTGTGGTGGGGGAGAGGGGAGCGGGGAGGTGAATCCCATAACCTCGGGTGCAAGCCCACAAGCAGTGTTGATGAGTACCAGTGGGAAGTCCTAAAGGGATTGGCTCCAAAGATGGCCTAGGGTCCATGTATCAGGAGACCCACTCAATTATTTTAACAGAGATGAGTCATTATAAACCCAGATAGTCAAGAGGTAAAAGGCAAAATGGTGGTAGGGAACACAAAAGCTAAGGGCTTAGGTAAATGTTTAGGGCTGGGGAACAACAGTAAGAGCCTGGGTGCTTCAACTTTAAGAGTTGGCAGGAAGCACTTCTTGGAGTTGGGACCTCAGGAACCTAGTGGGACCCCAAAGCACAGGAAAGGAAAAGGAGTGCCTGGTTGACAGTGCTGCGATCTTTGAGGGGAGGCATAGAGCTGATTCTAGAGTGTAGAAAACCTGCGATCTGAAACCAATGATTCTTTTAAGGTGGAAACTGCTACTACCTGGCTGAAGAATGGTTGCTAGAATGTCACCACTGCTCAGGACAGAGAGGACAGGAAGAAGCAGATCTCTTCTTCTCTTCTGAAGGTTCCTGTCTTTCACATGTCCACTATGGGTGGGGAAACACACACAAAGCAGCCAGATAGGGTTTGCAGAGCCTCCTAATCAAGTAGAACAGGAAAGGTGTGACTGGAGATAGGACAATGGCTTCAACTACCAGCACTCATACTAACCAGCAATTTTCCTCTTCTCACGGAATCATAGCTGGTCAAAGCACTTATAAGATCCTGGTCAAGGGTCAATGAAAAGGCAGACACCTATAAAATCTAGTGCTATCATACACAAAACTCTAATTTTATATACATGTGTGTCTATATATAAAAATACATATATGCATAGCACAAAGGACAAAAACTACATGAATTTTTTTGGCCCATGCCTATGTGAGTCACTGAATTAGAAGAAATGGTAGTAACCTCCAGACAAACAGAGCAAGCTAACCTTCTCCAAATTATGTATGTCCTCAAATGTGTCACGGACACAGCAGATACTCAGAGTTCATTCCTCTGAAGGTCACTTCTTACTCTAGTGGGGATTTGGAAAATACACAAGAACAGAAGATAGAGGTTTCTGTCCAATAAACTGAGAATCTTGAGAGGCCACAGCAATTCCCATTGGCATCTGTTCATACCTTCTTGCCTTTGAACTGCCTTTAGCATGTTTAATTTGTGCCTCGTCTGTAACCAAAATCATGTTGTACCATTATTCCCAGAACCAATTCAAGTGAGTACTGTTGTACTTGTTTTAGGAGGATGTAGCAAAGTCAGATTTCATGAAACATCTGCCAAACATCTAAAGGGGTTTGAAGTCCAATAAATGTATCACTTAGGGACTGCATTGAACTGAATATAATGGAAATACGACTGCAGGCATTTACACAATATTCATAGACCATGAGACTTGGGAGAGGTAGCTGGGATGGCTAAGCGTGTTCAGATAGTTTCTGAATATTGTTCTGAGTTTGGGTATGAGGGTAAGATTCACACTTGAC